TTAAAATAACCTTTCCAGGACTTTGAAGCCAATCTTTTTAATTCCCTAGTTTTTTTTTAATGTGTGTCGATGCCCACCCTGTTACAGCAACCCAGCTTCCAGCTAAGCAAATTTGATAATAGACCCAGATTTTCAAAATTGGACTGAACCCTGGACCTACATTGTGTGATTATGGTTGGGCGATATGTATGGCCAACAACCAGTGACTGCAGATATATTCTCACATGTGTGCTGCACCAAGGGGCAGGTGTAATTTTTATTTTTCAACAGGAGCAGATTTAGATTGATGGCTTGTAAGATCTAGGCATGACTTAGTTTACATTTAAGGATGTGTATTGGCAGCATTTAGTACAGAAAGGTTGCTGTGTGCACATCAGAGCTTCGGGATAGCAGGTTCAGCAGAGGAAAAAGCCAAGTATCCACACACAGGATGAAATCTCCCTAACTTTAATTTAACTAAAGAGGCAACCGGGTCCTACCGGTCGGTCTTCCTTCACCAGCTTCATCTTCTTGCAGATTGGTTCTGTAGTTTCTGTCTTTAGCTGAGTTGATGTTGTCACTATTTTAACTGGAGCCGTCCTCAGTCATACGAGTCCCATCAGGAATCCTTTAATTGAAAGTTTTTCTCCTTGAACCATCCACCACCTGTTGAGATTCGGCCGTGAAGTATCGAGTGACCACGTCGGTGTTTTTCATGGTAGAAAGTTTCAAGTTGACCCGTCGACCCGGAAAGTTTCACTTAGTGCTGCAGTTGAGAGGGGATTAGAGTCTTCTCAGGTTCCCCCCGTTTCACCTCCCAAGCACCTCCGCTGCCGAAAGTTCAAAGTGATGATTAAATTTAATTTAAAGACTTCAGCTCAGAGTTCAGTCTCTCTGATTCTAATATCATGTTCGGACCAAAGAAGAAAAAGTTTCCAGATGGTGTCAAATTTAACAATTTCTGCATGATTAACAAAACTCTGCTGTGCTGCATGAATGCATAAGATATTTATTTATTAATGAGCAGTTCTGAAACTCACATTTTAATATAAAGATTTGTGCAAATTTGTATTAAGCCAATTAAACATTTTAAAGTCCTTTTCACTCTGCAGCTGAATGAAGTAGTTTGAGTTCTAGTTTTGGCCATTGTTCCTATCCTTAATGCTAACATTGTACACACCAAAGTAAACGCTGAGATCTAGGAACACGATAACATCTCTTCAACATGCATTTGTGCACTATGCACCTTTTCTGTTGGAATAATGAACAATGTACATTTGCTTTGGAAACACTGCCGTCCTATCAGAAAGAAAAGCCTTCGGTGCCGTTCTTTGCTCTTCTTTCAATGAAGAAAAATCAGTTCTGATATGACTGATGCTAGCAGCATTTACACTAACCCTATGGGAGCGTTGCCTGTCACTGCCAGAAGTTCTGTATAGGATGCTGATTGGTCCAGACCACTGTGGTTGGATACAAGTACGTAGCATGAAGCCTGGCAAGATGGATTCTTCACTGATCTTGTGTATCCAGCTGCCTCGCAAGGTTAATTTGAGACTAACATTGTGTAGAATAAAGTTTGAAGTGACAGAAACTGAACAAACAACCAGTCAAAAGTCATTTAGAGGAAGTTTGGGGTGGACTGTGGACACGTAGTGCCTGACCCAGTAGCTGCCAGTAGCCTACTTGCTGATTGGTCCGCTGCCACTGTAGTTTGACCACAAACGCACAGACTGAAGTCTTGCAAGGGCAGAACCAAACAGCTTTATCCAAAATGATTGATTAATTACAGCAATCTGAAGCAGTGGAGTAGTGCAAAGTAGACACAGTAACAGCAACTTATTTTTCAGTTGTAATTGGGTATCCTTCTGGGTATTGGGTATATTCTGAATCCTCTGATTCAAAAGTGTTCTGTAAGCTGATTTTTCTTATTCCTAGAATGACAAAGGCGTGACATAGTTGTCCAATTTCATGAGTGGATGGAGTAAAGAATGAGGAATACTTAAAATGCATAATTATGTAGTTGTGTCACTTGTCTGTGGGCCAGTATTGATTTTTCTGTGGAAAATGTTTCATAATGATCCTCACTCCCTGAAGTCAAGCAGCAGAGGTTCAGTGACAATGTGCAAACACTACCGGACTATTTTTGGGTGAGCTCAGTATGCAAGGGTAGTCTTACATGTCACTGTTAGTAACACAGGGCGTTTATCCTCTGCTTCTCCAGGCTTCACTACAGTCTGATTATTAGTTGGATCTAAGCTATGGTCTGAAGTCTGTCTTTGTGAAACCGGCTTCAGGGTCTGTGAGCAAAAAATCAGTCGAACAGGAAGTTCTTGATATTTTTGTGCTTGTTGCGGGCTTTGAACCAAAACATTGACCTGAAGGCACTAAATCGCTGCATAGAACTCCGTTCACACCTCTTTTATACAATCATTTCATCCATTGTTAATATAAAAATATTGATAAGTGCGGCTTTAAATGCTGTAAAAGCTTATAACTAACAATCCTGTTTATTCCACTTCCGACTTTGTGTATAAATTCCTTGCTGGAATCTACTTCCCAGAATAGCAGAGGAGCATCTGCGTCCCTGCCCGACTCCAGAGGGGTCTGAGAGCGAGAGTCCGTCTGTCTGCTCCGAACCCCCCTCACCCCCTCCAGCCCCGGAGGTCTGCAGAGTCGGTCTGAAGGAATGACAGAGATCTGACCCGAGTTCACGACCTGATCCTGCAGCTTTCACTGCCGTCTGCTGTAGCTTTCAGCCGCGGTCCCAGCTAAACTTCATTCTGGGCTGTAATGCTGATAATTCGGGAAGAAAATGATAGATGTGCAACCCTGTGGCTTTGTTATCCATCATTAGATCCTTTCAGATAGAGCGGGGGTGGGTCAGGGGATGCCAGAATTTACTGCCGAGCCTTCTGGAGGTGTTGTGGGTAAAATACAATGAAACATCTGTTATGGGAGGTGCCAGCATGATAACCCCGATGACTCGCCCTCATCGACCGCTCATCCACCCCGCTTCTCCTCAAACAGGTCTCCAGTTTGCTGTTCAGCCTATTTTAATCCACCAGTTTATCAAGTTTAAGACTCAATATTGGTTGAACATTTTAAATAATGCTGTAAAAGTTTTAGTTTTAGTGCAGATATGCCTTATTTAGAGGATAAGTTAAAAGTTAGTTTCCTCAAAAAAATGCTTTAGGAGAAGAATTTAAAATTCTTGCATTTAATTTATGAGTCTTAAATGTTTTATCTTGCCTGCTGTAGGCAGTAAAATGAAATGTTTCTGTATGTGCTCACAGGCTGTCCTCGCCCATAAACTGACAGTGTGATTGTTGCAGCAGTGCATTGTGCTGCAGGAGGCTGAGTAATCCTCCTTTTAAACCGTCAGAGCCATCAGACCTGCAGCAAACTGTCACTACTGCAGCAGCTAGGAAGCTCATATGGTCAAGTGTCGATTTCTTTAGGAAAAACTTGATGAATTAATTTTCATTGGTCCATTTTCTACAGCTTCTCTGGGTCTGGCTCTCATTAATTAAATAATTATTGTTCTGTGCTGCTGAGAAGTATTGGAAAAAATGTGATGAATAAATCATTCTAGGTCATAACGTCCCTGCTGGTTTTCCATCATACTGACCGGTGAAACAAGTATTAAACTGAATTTTATTTAGTATTTAAAAGGTCTTACAGTAAGTAAGTCCTTCAGAAACCCTGATCTAAATTAAACACATGCTGGCTCCTTTAGAACAAACCTTTCTATTTGTGTTAACCTGAACAGTGTCAGAAAATAGGGAAAAATACCCTAATAGAAGTTTAAAAAGCCCACGGCAGCATCTTTACAACCCTCATTTTATCTGATAGTCAGCCCAAAACTCAAAGATAATCAGTTTACTATCATATAAAACAGATAAAAGCAGCAAATCTTCTCATTTGAGCAGCTGGAACCAGTGAATGTTTGGCATTTGTTCCTGGAAAACTGACTGAAACAATTAATCAAGGTGTTGGCTGATTTAATTTTCTGTTAGACTAATTGGCAGTTTTAGAGCTGAAACAAAGTTATAACTTAAATCTTGGAATATCTGTTTTAAAGAGAAAGATTATGCAAGATTTTCAAGTAGTTAGTACCTGATGCTCATTCAATAATAGAAGCAGTTATAGAAGCTGTTCGTGTTTGCAAAAGTCCTGAGATTCATAACAACTTCAGTGATAAATCATAAGGAGTTGACCTTTAAGTCAGTAGTTGACCCATTTCTTGTTGTTTCTGTGGCCTCAAAGCTCAGTCAGTTATCAGAATAACCCTTTGTCCCTTTGCTGAAATCATATTTTGTGCTGGTGGAGAAACAATGGCCTGTGCCGTCTGTGAAACCCTTTAGGTGATAAAAATAGTGGTGTACAGATAAATCAGTCAGAACAGAAAAAGGATCAGGTCACTTCAACGCGCCCGAGTGAATATCAGCAAAAAAAACTAACAACTGAGTTAAAATGTCATCTTGGAAATAATAAATGTCGGCACAGGAAGCCAGTGCTGTCCGAACGCACTGATGTAACAGTCAGATCTTTAATTCAGATACAGGAAATCGATCTGAAGGTGAAACATGCAGAGAGAGAGTGCGGGGGGGACTGAGTGGCAGACATTTTGATTAGAAATTAATAGAAAGAGCTGTAAGTTGGAGAGACTGCATGAGGACAGAAATCCCTGCAAATAGACCGGAGCTCAGCTTTTAATCACACATATTGATGTGAAATGTTCTGCCACCTTCGGGTCGATTATGTCACCAGAACACTTAACCTGACGGTGACGCAACAGCGATATTTCATATCCTGAGTCTGTTTCCACTCCCAGTCACACCAGTCACACCAACGGGTGTCTTTTTTTTATTGATTAATCTGTGGATCCATGCCCTCAGTGATTTGTTGTTTGACCCCTAAAATGTCTGAAAACGGTGGAAAATGTTTGATCACTGTTTGCCAAAGTGACCTCCTCAAATGTCTAGTTTTGTCCACAACACGAAGATGTTCATAGAGGACTAAAGAAACCGGAAAACTTTCACATTTTGAAGCTGAATTTGGACAGTTTGTTACTCAGAATGATCAATGGATCATCCAAATAGTTAGAGATAAATGTAATAGTTAAACTGTAATTGATGAATCGTTGCAGCTCTCAATAATACCCCTCCTGTCAGAGGAAAACATCTTGTGAGGTCTCAGTTTCAGACTGACTCGAGCTGCAATTCTATAAGTGGCGTCGAGCGGCGCCCAGATTCATTAAACTCACTGAGGACGTCCAGAATCACGTAAACACACAAATCCAGTTAGAAAGTTAGACTTGACTCGCAGCACAAGTTTCTCCCTTCTGACTGACGCACACTTTAAAGATCCCCTCCCTCCATATATTAAGACATATCCTTTAAAAATAGATCTATTTCTTCCACCTGCTGCACACAAGATGTCTCCTCTTTGACTGTAAAGTCCAAACTTTCCACTTTCAGCACACTCAGCTCTGCACAGATACGATCAAACACCACACTGTAGGAAAGGAAGGAAAAACCCATTTTTGAGTGTAGGGGGGACTTTAATGGACGATTGCTCTCCTCCACAGGTGAACGTCTACGTTCTGGGAAGAACCTTCCTCGTACTGGCCAGAGAACTGTGCATCAACGCCCCGGCTATAGGTACACACCTCACTTACCTTGACCTTGTTCTACTGGATCAGTGTTGGGTAAAGCATTACTGCAACCGCACTACATTAATCTGTAACACCGTAAAGTAATGCATTACTGCTCCTAATCACATCACAGTTAATATCAAACAGTTATGTTAATACATAAGTTCTTCAATTATCTGCATAACAGGCGGGGAGAAAAAGGAATCCTATGGGCGTTTGTGTAACGATCACCTTCTTAGGTGTTGATGAGGAGGATACAGCTTCCTTCAGCTCTGACCCCGACTTAAAATACTCAGTGACTTCAGTGTCGGAGACCCTGAACTGTTTCTGTATGATATCCATTAAACTGAACACAGCGACTCTGAGGAAGAACATAAGTCCTCATAAGGCGTAACGCTGCTTCAGTGATACAATAATCTGCACTAGTCGACTATAAAGCTATAGTTTGGTGAACAAGCAACTAAAATTAGTTTGGCTCATTAAATGCAGTTTATGTTAGAAGATCTCAGGTGATGTTGTGGAGTTGCGTAGTAGTAGTGTAATTAATTTGTAACCGTAATACATTACTTTTTTTTTTTTTTTTTAAAGTAACAAGTAATGTGTAATACTTTTCCTTTTTGGAGTAATGTCCCTAACACGGTTCACTCTAAAGGACTTTTTAAACTTTGAGAACTCTAAATTGTGAATAAGCTCTTGTCAAGACGTCTTTTATACGGATAAATTATTGATATAAACAGGACTGAAACTCCTGATAGGTTTCACTAGTTCAGTAGTTCTCAACCTTTTTCCAAGACGTATCCCCACAGATGAACTCAAGTAACCCTCCATTAACAAACTGGATGTTACTTAACTATTAATCATCTATAAAAGTTGATAAAATAGTGGATGTTAGAGTACTTTCATACAGTTGAGTTTTCGTTTGTACTACAACCACATGGAGTGGTTGTTACTGTTTATCCATTACTTTTAACTAATTATTTTAACCATTCATCCATTATTCTTACCTAGCATCTCCTCTGCTAGCTTGCTAACTAGCTCTCACACACTATAAATTGCAACAACACCACGATTAATTGTTACAGCTGACTCAATATGTCGATGTATATTTACAAAAAAAAAGTCTAATTAGTTGAGCTACACTACAGTCTCTCCATGTACCCCCTGTTCTACAAGTACCATTGGTTGGGATTCACTGATTTAGTCTGTGTGTGTATATATGTATATATAATGAAAAGTTCAAGGTGACCCCTATAAATGTCCAGTCTGACCAATAGTTGAAAACCCTGCAGCACTGTGAGGCTGGAACCAGAGATTGTTTGCCATATTTGTTTGATAAATGACTCCATGGATTTAATATTGTACTTGCATAATGTTGGGGAATTTAAAAGAGACACATTCAGAAGAGGAATGGTCATTAAGATGCTTTCTGACTCTTATGTAAATGTTCCTCTCCACAGATATTAAACACTATAAGTCTATTATACTAACCATTGTAGTATACTGTAAAATAATATAGGACATCTGCAGATATGTGTAATGCAGCCTAATGTGCATAAAAACATGATAAATATCAGACTAGGAGCATCCCTGTGTTTGACTTCCCAATGAGAAATGATCACTTTAGGTCACTTATATAAAGAGGCTCCTGCTTAGGGGCCCCCCATGACTCTTTGGGCCCCCCTGTATTGTACTGGAGGCCCATTAAATAATCCATTCATGGCTGCAAGAACCTCCTGTTTCCATAAAAGCAGGGTGCAGTTCCGGCTATAGTAACCAGAGGGCGCTGCAGTCCCTCTAATCCCCACTCCCTCACCCAGGCACCATAATGATGTGACATCTGTGGCTTCAATCACATTATAACCTTTATGTTTTATCATCAGGTGTATAAGCATTCTTGTACAGAACACATCTGGTCATCTTTAACAGCGTCAAGCTGTTAACAGTTAAATTGTATTTTACAAAAGACACAACGTTTCTGAGGCCATCCTCTGAAGTGCAAAACAACTCTGCTCTCGACAAGATTTCTACTTTTTTTTTGCATTTAGAATCATAACACTACATAAAGGTCGCTCCTCGTGAAGTATTGCTGCTCAGACTATAGTAACAACATTGTATATAGACTTGCAATTACACAATTTAAAGCAGTCCCTACTTGTTCCAGTTGTGTAGCTCAGCTTGATTACATAACCACAAATCACTGTATTAATGTTGTTTCTACAGCAGCCGCAGCCTTTTAACACAGGCATCAGAGCAAATAACGTTAACCCAGTAATTAAATTAAAAAAATAACATTAAATTAAATAAGATAAAACAGCTCCTTGGCTTTTAAAATAGTCTCTCAAAGAACTAACCAGGCCATTTAGTGTGACATTAGTCGAGTGTCTTTAATGCTACATTACTTTGAAGGCTGGGAGGCGAGGATGAACCTAATTTTCCATCAGCAGTCCAGAGCAGCTTTATGCGTAGAACACAAGCTCTGGGATCTGTCCTCCCTGTACTCCGGTCCCGTTGGTGCTGTCGGAGGAGCACTGGAATTGAAACGTCACCTTCCCACACTGCACCTCCGTCATGCCCTCCTGGCCAAAATAGCTCAGCTCGTTCCCATCCAGCACGGCGCTCACGGTGTAGAACGCGTCCTGCTCCACTTGAACAGGATGCTCAAACCACACCGGGAACGTACTGCTCGACCCGTCTGACACGAACTTTGTCAGGTTCTGCGCCAGCGTCACCCCCTGTCTCTTCAGTTCGATTTTGACGCTGTACTCGGCTTTGCCGCCGCTCGACCCGTACAGCCCCAGACCGGCGATAAAGATCCTCTTGTCCACCGCGAACTGAATGCTGTCGCACCGGCCGCGGTAGCGCCACTGATTGCTCCGGTAGGCCGAGGACTGGAAGCGGTGACACCTTTGAGGCGCCAAACCCTTCCTCGCAGTCAAGGGGAAGTCCAGTTTGGGCTTTTTAGCCGCAGTGTACCACAGAAACACATTGTGCGTCTCCTCCAGTGTCAGGATATCACATTGCGCCGCCCCGTTGGCAAACTCCTCCAGGGTCATGGTGGGGATGCGCACTAAGAACAGCGCCTTGCCAAGGACATCTCTTTTGTTGCGGGTGGTGGGCCCCAAACCTTGTCTCTTGCACTCCGCGGTGGCCCAGCTCATCACAGCCTCAAACACCACCACCTCCTTGGTGTTGAGCGTCTCCCTCCGCAGGATGATCTCCAGCGTCTGCAGGTCGATCTCGCAGAAGCCCTCGGAGCACAGCGAGAGCTCGGCCTGAGCGTCGATCACCTCCCAGCAGCGCTGCGTCAGCTCGGGCTCCTCAAACAGGCGGCTCTGGGAGAGCAGCACGCAGGCGTTCTTGGCCTCCAGGCTGGTTTCCAGGAAGGTGACGCAGGCCTTAGCCAGCGCGGGGACGATGTACTTCTTGGCAGCATACAGGGTGGCCAGCACCGTGTCTGCCTCCAGGTCGATTTCATCGCTGTACATGTACCTGGAAGGAGGAAAATAACCTTTTTAATCACAGCTCAGAGCAACAACTTCAATAATATCCCACATAACAGGACATAAAAACCCTCGGATACTCTAATGTCCACAAAAGAAGCAAAACATAATTGATGATAAGAGGATTGTATGCTGACTTAACACATCCTACCCTTCTTACTAAACAGTCTATGGTGCTGGCTTAGCTACTGAATGAGCAACAAAGGCAGGTTATTTATATCTACTAGTCTGCATATATTCCCCCTCTAAGAAAATTGTCAGGCTGTGGATGAGAAAACTGTTTCTAGTTGGACAAAGAGCGGCGAGAAAACCAGCAATTACAGAGCACTGTGCTGCTGCCGCTGCTCTCTGGCGCTCCCAGCATTTTGGCATTCGCCTCTGCTCAGCTTTGGATGAGTAATAATATGCTTTGAAGTGACACTGACTGCGCTTGTCATCTCTCCTTCTGGTTGGCTGTGTGAGGGATCGGTTGAGTGGCTTACTTCAGCAGAATTAGAAAAGCAGCAGGTTCCACATCTGGGATATGGATCTCAGACTCCTCCTCCGCCAGATCGCCGTAAAACATGGCACAGAAGACCGAGCTTCCCACGGCCAGCACATACTGGGGAGGGGAGGGGGGGGAGACAGATGCGTCAGAGAACACATGCGACCAGAATCTCTTTTTTTCTTTTAGCTTAACTTCAATAAAAGTAGTTTATTTTCAGTAGCAGTGCTGCAGATACTCCTCTAACAGATATTTAAATTCAAGTATCACACAATTTTGGCTTTAGGGGGATTCTACTTTCTCATAAAAAGAAATTAAATAAAAGGGAGGAGGGGGGGTTTCCAATGTCTTTACCTTGTGTGCTGGAACCCTCTGCGATCCCCCCAGGGGGCCGACGATGAAGTGGACATCGGCCATCAGCTCATTGTTAAACATCAAGGCGTTCCTGAAGGCAGAGCAGGTTTCATGAGTAAGCCTCAATCAGAGTATTGTATAACGTCAAGTCCTCCCACACTCCCTTTGCCTGGAGACACTGGTTGTTTTCATAGGGTTGGGGAGGGATACAGCAACAGTAGTAGTAGTAGTAGTAGTAATAATAGGCCCACAGTCAAGGGTTTATCCATTAATCTGATTACTATCTTGATTAATGTCATTTTTAAATGATTTATTTTTACTAATTAGTCGCACAAATCCTTAAAAACTGTGAATTTCTTTAAAAAAACCAACTTCATTGATTACATTATCCAAATTGTTGCTGTATTTGTGCTCTTATGCACATTGTAAACATTAACAGCAATGCAACTGAGCTAAGTAGATGCAGCAAGAGCAAATTTCTTTCAAAATAAAACAAGTTTCCTCCAAAATAAAACACGTTTTCTCCAAAATAAAACAAAAGCAGAGTGAGTTTAGTGACCTTACTGCACTTAATATACTAATATCACATTAATGCAGTGAGTTAAAGTGGCTGACCCTAATGTACTTTAATCTCTATAAACGCTGTGCGGGGTTCTGTGCGGGGTGCCAGGTGCGGTCTGTGCGGGGTTCTGTGCGCGGGTCCGCTGCAGGGTGCAGTCAGTGCACTGGTGCGGGGGTTCTGTGTGGGAAGTGGCAGGCTACCCTCTCTTCTCAGATGTTGGAGAGGGTGGCTCACTGCCAGCATGGGGGAGCCCGATCCACGTATGTTGTTGTTGATGTTCTGCTGGGTGTCTGGTGCCGCTGCTGGGCCGCTGCTGCTGGCCTGGCATCACCCGCACCTCATTGGTCTTCTCGGTGTCGCAGGCCACCGTGGTGCCGTTGGACAGTTGTTGGTGGCTGTTTGTTGGCGGGGTACAACTCCGCACCATCTTTTCCTCCTTCTGTTTCTGGCTGCTTGCTGCTGGCTGCTGCTTCTTCTTCAGGGACAGAGTCAGGATACTCATAACATACCGGCAGCCGGACCGGGAGCTTGCCGACTCTTCTTGACTTACTTCAGCGTTTCTGGGAGCAGGAGGAGATTAAGTCAGCACACCTCAAGACCGGCAATGATGAAGGCAAACCTGCAGTTCTGCCGTTGCGCATCGGCACAAGCAGACACGGTTCGGTCTCCTGCGCTCTATTAGATATCCGGTGGAGAGCAAGCCAGTCGGTGTCGGAGCTCCGGGGACCAGGAAGGAGGAACACGTACGGTGCAAGCTATATCTCGGATTTGGTTCGCCGGCGGAGTTCGGCCTCCACACACAACGACGCTCTCTGATTTTATCTAAAACAACATCGAAAAAGCGAAGTTTAATTTACACGACACAACACGTCAATAAAATAAATGTCCTTGCAGGCCCGTTTTCCTCACTCCTTCCTCTTCCTCCTCCTCCTCCGTGTCCAACTTCGACCACTTTTTCCTCCCGTTTCCCCTGGCGGTCACCTACATCCTCTCTGCACGGGCAAATGTACCGCTCGTTTTCCTTTTTCCTTTCCTCTGCAGCGAGTAATCCGCGATACTGTTGTGAGTCCTGTTGTTCGAATCCCCTCGGATATAAATCTTTCACCCTCTTTTACTCTCTCTCTCCTCTCTCTCTTCTTCCCCTCTCTCTCTCTGTCCGTCGACCCGACACGAACCGAGCTCCGGTTGTTCCGCTGCGGCCGCCGTAACTCATCCGAGTAAACACTCATTTGTGGGGAGTTTTTAAGGTCCTTGCTTCATTTTTTCCTCTCTCTCTCTCTCTCTCTTTTTTTTATTTTTTTTATATTTATATTCGTCGTGCTCTCCTATGACGCCCAGTGCTCGCTGAGGACCAATCAGATTGACGCTCCGCGGTGACGTCGGGAGTGCAGAAGCCCCTCCCCCTCCACGCACGCACACACACACACACACACACACAGCAGCTCCGCAGAGTGCGTCACTGGCCCGAGCCGCTCCGCCTCCGGCCCGCTGATTAGACCCGGTGGGTCGGATAAAAATAAAATTATAAAAGAGGAAGAAGGTCGGTTGAATATGACCCTGCGGCCCGGCACCCGTAATGAGGCGAAATAACTCCCCGAAACATGATGTCAGAGACCGGGGAGGAGTTTGACACCACTCCGATGGCTTCATGTGTCATTGTGTCGACCTGTGGAGGAGAAAACTGATTTTATGGTTATTATTATTATTATTATTATTATTAACAAGGCGGAGAGAGTGTGACACTTCCCCGACTCTGTGTATATGATCTGTGTTCAACACTATATCACAGAATCCTTTGACTTTATTCCTTCACAAAACACCGGCCTTATATGACCTGATGGTGGGATGAATATAGAATAATAAAATAAGGTTGCATTAATGTGACCCTCCAGCTCCACACCCTAATGAGGACAAATGACCCCAGAAACAGGAAGTTAAAACCAGGGGACTCTGATGGCTTTATGTCGACCTGTGAACGACAAAACTCTGATTTGATGTAAAATTAAGTTATGTAGTCAGGATACAAAAAAAGTTAACCATAATCCATTAGTTACAGCGGGAAAAGATGTAATGTGATTACATTTAGTTACATTTAGTGAAAATTGGGATTATTTAACAGGATTACATGTTATTGTTCTGTTGTCTTTAAAGAATACGCAAAACTTCTTATTGACATTTCTCTTGTTTGTATTTACATATTTTGTGTTGAGGTAATCTAAAAGTAACAAAGTACTTTTAAAGTAAAGTTACTTTAAGTACTTTACAAGTGTTACTTCGATTAGGTTACTGACTGCATTTTTTAACAGATCATTAATGGATTACATGTAGCTAAATTACTTTATCAGGATTTTAAAAAAAGGTAACTGTAATCCATTACAATTACAGGGGGAAAAAGATGTAATCAAATGAGTTACTTTTAGTAAAAACTGGGATTCTTTAGCAGTGCCTGTCAATCAATCTGATCAGTTTGAGGCTGTAGCGTGTTTAATATGGACACAGATACTGAACTCCTTCCTTCATATTAACACTGTTTACTATTCAGGAGCCCCAGAGACCAGAGCCTCTACAAACAGGCCTTCTTAGTGTCCTGGACATCTTTTAAATGTATTTGTCACAATGTTTGACGAGTTATACATTTAACTATTCAATCAATCAAATTTAAAAATGTTACGTCATCCAACTCACTTCCTTGTTTCTAGCTTTGACAACGTGGACGTCTCACATTTACCCTCCAAACAGTTGGATTCCACCCTCACTGCAACAAGTTGCCTTTGATTTTTATAGAATAATAAGAAGCAATTAGCAGTTTTTCAACATTACAACATGGAATGCAGTTTTTCAGAAAAAATGCAGTGAAATGAGACGTTTTAGGCTGCAACAATCCCAAAAAAGCGAGCAGAATCTTTTGAGGGACTGTAAAATGAGTCTTTGCTGCAGTGGCCATTGGTTTGAATCCGACCTGCGACCCTTTCCTATCCAATAAAAGCAAAAAGCCCCAAAACAAACACAAAAAAACATTGAATTGACGCTTCACTAAATCAATAAAAACTAAAGTAAAACATTGTTTACCAACCAACACATACAAAAACAACAAAACACATTTCTACTCTTTTATCACTATATATAATATAAAACCCTAAAACGGCTCATGATGATCGTACATAGCTATCTCTGATGACGTTTGTTTGTTTCTGTTGATCACTGACCAAACAAAGTGACATCACATCCAAACATTTCTCCACCAGCTTGAGGAGTTTCCTCTCAACCCCCCATCAGTGTTCAGTGAGGGTTGGATGAGTGAGCACTGACAGTGTGCACATTCATACAGAGAAAAAGGAAACTCAGAGACCAATTTATACACCCGCAGTAACAAAAAAAAAAGACCAGAATGCATTGCAGTGCCAAGTCAGTTTGGGGTTTTGAAGGGAAAGGGCGCAGCTTCCCCCACAAACTGAATGATAACACTTCTAATGCAATTCATGCGTCCCCCTGCTCTCACGTTTTGATTGAAAGGAGCGCGTTCACAGCCCTTTCTCGGGGGGTGGTCCAAGTAATTTTGGGGGGAATGTGGGGAACAGAAGTAGAAGTAGGCGAGGCGGGTCGAATGGGGAAAAGTGGGTACACGAAAAAAAAGTCAAACTACAGCACTCCCATCACAGGAGGTGTCCTGGGCAGCTCGAGCACCGCACATTGATTGTACCCGACAGAGAAAGAGGATCTGAGGTTGAGTTTCTTCTTCTTTTAAACAGCCTGTGTTCTCTATGGAGATCTCGCCTGCGTTTACAGACAGTAAAACTTGCAGCAGTGATGGGGAGCTCTGCAGACGTATCATTACATGATGCAGAGGGGGTGTTGGAGGGGGAGGAGGAGGGATCAGCCTGGATCTTATTACCAGCTGGCTCTACCAGCTTTCCACTGGACTGCTCTTTAAACGCAGCCACCGACTTCAAAGATATTCGACTCCGCTGTCACGGCCGGGGCACGAAACTCTGCTTTTTGTCTCTCGGCTACAGTGGAAAGAGGTTCCTCCTCATTTTAAAGCATTAAATTAGATTTCTTAGCAAGGTAAAATCACTAGAATATCAGGCAGACACTGGCCACCTGCCAGGCTGTTTCATAGCAAAAGCAGGTGGTTCTGATAGTTTTCTCCTCTCCAGCTGAATCTAGTATTTTCCATAAAGTTTACGATATGCTGCGCTCACCATGCGAGTTTCTCAGAGACATTTGAGCAGCAATAAGGTTTGAGGAGTGAGCTTGTGATTGGAAAGTTGCCCATTCAAATCCTTTCGCCAGCTGCAAGAATCTGGACAGAGACACTGAATGAGAAACAGGCTGCTTCGAGGAGCGCTTGAGCTAAATGCTAATCCTCAAGTTCTCCAGTGGAGCTAATTAGCAGCCAGCAGTGGGAGACTGGTTTTACTGGGAAGATCACAGGTGCTAGTCAGGTTTAAATCTGTATGAATTAAAAAAAACAAAAAAAAACAGCACATTGTTTTTTTTTTCGTTGGGTCTGAACCAGAGTTGGGGGGAGAAAATACAGTTTTTGATTTGTTTACTGCTCAGACACAGACGAACCGGGGATTGTAAACAAAAATCACACAGTCACACAAGCAGGCGGTTTATTGGACAGAGATTTGGTCGAAGTGCCATCCGGAGAGAGTTTTGGCAGTCAGGGTAGGAGAGCCAAACAGATCTGATATCAGTCCCTGAAAGTGTAGCATGATGGACTCGTATGCTCTCTGCCAAGATTTACCCTCTCCAGTTAATCACACACGAGACAAAAGCTGAATGTGATCATTACAGCGTGATAGAAATCGTGTCGTGTGCTGCAGTTGCTTCAGATTACATACAGTAGGTTCTTTGAAAATGAGCTGACATCCAGTTCACTCACTCGCTCTTCCCAAAAGGTAACCCTATAGGCAGCAGTAAAATTAAGATTTCAGACACATTTTGTATCATCAGGAGTGTCGAGGGATTGTTAGCAGAAAGTAATGTTTTTGTTCCATTGTAGTGATCAATTAATCTAATTAATCCCAGGAACTAGTTTTCTAGTAATGGAAGCACCTGGAAATTCCTGGAAAGTGTATTTTATGCTGCTCCAGATTTTGAAGGAATGACTTCCATCTTCCTTCTGAACGACTAAACTTAAAGAAAAACACCTTTCTGTCTCATCCAGACCCGTGCCTGTACATTCCCCGTTTCGCCCAGATGCTGGAATTTGGGGAGAAGAACCACGAAGTCTCCATGACGGCGATGAGACTGGTGCAGAGGATGAAGAGGGACTGGATGCACACGGGACGAAGGCCGTCGGGACTCTGTGGAGCAGGTAACCGTGAGACAATATGGCGTTGGGCCTCTACTGTCTGTGCTGTGGAGGATTTTTTAAATTTAATTTCAGGTGTCATGCTGTCATCAGAGGATTCGGTCCTCGGAGCAGAGAAAGTGATTAACGCTCTCTGCTCTGTTGGCTTCTAACACCAAGGTGCCCTTCAACCTCAGATACTCCTGAAAAGCTGCCCAGTGACCATCAGCATTTGTAGCTCAGGCCATACAGTACGACAAGCTCATGCTCCTCTAACACGGATGGAACATAAGTGGATTTACTCTGGAAAGTTCCATGATTTACTTGGACACTGGTGATTTTATCAGTGTGATGAAATGCAAATCAGAGCTTTTTCACTGTAACATACTGGCTTAAGTTATGAGCATACAGCCATCGTACTGTATATGTTCATTAAGACAGAGTGAGCTCGGGGTGATTGAAATTGTTTTTCTGGCTTTTTTAAAGGGATAGTCTGGATTTTTTGAAGTGGGGCGGTATGTGTATTACCCACAGGAGAAAACCCCAGTTTGGAGAAGCAGATGGGAGTCTCGGGACGGTCGTGTAATACATAACCTTTGTGGACGGAGGAGGCAACAAAATATATTTTAGCCTCCTCACGGAATCAGTATCTGTTTAAGTGTAGGCTATATTTAGAATATTTGAACCGCTCTACCTTGCTGTCAGACAGCTCTGTTCGACGGAGAGCTGAAGCTGTTTTCAAAACCACCTCTTTTGATAAAAGCAGCAATTTTAGACTTGCAGAACAGGGGACTTGCTGGTCTACCCCTGCCTCGATCTGTTAGTTTGTTTGTGTTAATGTGTGACTTTGGTGTGTTAATGGGTTAGTTAGGATTTGAAGCAACGTGTTAAAGTCCCTAAAGTAGGGATCGTTAGAACCTGGTGGCTTTGGAGAGAGTGGTAGAATGACTTTAGTTCCCCATTAGAAAGGGCTGTCTGACAGTATAGTGGTGGAAATATTCTGAATACAGCTCACCCTTAAGATAGATGTAGATACTGATTGTTCTTTTTTTTAGGTGGCTAAAACACGATTTATTGCTACCTCCGTCCACTGGGCGGCCCGCTGACTACCATCGACTGTAGGTACATACATAATGGATCCATATAACCCCACTTCAACAAACCTAAATGATCCTTTTAACCTGCATTTATTGCAACAGAAACTCATGGAAAATGTTCATTATTCAAACAAGCAAACCTCTCTTTTAGCTCAGAGTGCAGAATTAGCCATTAGCATCTAGTGATCTGGTCGGATTCCTGCATTTTAATAAAGTGGTGGTTAATTTAGTACAGAAAGTAGTGAATAAGTAACAACTATTTTAAGATTAATGAATAGTGCAAAGGTTTGTCCCGCTCTGTAAGGCTCCAACATACAACATCTGACATTAATGTGTGTCTGGTATATTTTGATGGCAAACAGCAGGATGTTTATACTCTACATGTTTACATTACTAATTAATAACCAGGATGAGGAGGCTTCTGCAAGAGCTAACTTTGTGTGGTCTGGGTGAGTGTTATTACTGCTGTTAGCTAGCCAGAGTGGCCAGATGTCTATCAATCAGAGCGGTGAGAAACGTTTTGATAATGCAAAGACAAGTGCAGCATCCAAATCCACCTCTAAATAATAACTTCAGCTTTAGCAAGTTGAGCTATCAGGACATTGTGTCAGTGAGTTTTCTACCCCCTTCCTGCATGGACACATTGATTGTAAAAGAGGAAACGCGTCTATTTAAACTTTGCAAGGACACTGAAATGTTATGTATTCTGAAGTTTTCTAAAGTCCTTCATGGTCCCAAATTAAGTTTTAAATGTCTTTAAAAATGTTCTTATGGTGAGAAATGTAACTAATCATGCAGACCAACTTTATATGGGTCAACAGCTCCTTTAATTTTCAGTTTTTGGAAGGATTATATAAGCCATTTTTCTACTCTAATTGCCATTTAAAAAAAAAAGCTCTTAAACAGTCTTAAAATAAGTTCATGTCTTTAGCAACTGCTCCATTTATCAGTCTCCAGTTGGACAACCAAATGTGTATGTCCTGTTCAGCTCTAGTCTTACCATATAGCTCAACCTGACCTCTGACCTCTTCATGTAGGAGGCAAGTCCAGAGAGAATTTCTTTAAACAGATCAATAATGTAAAATGTGCACATTAACCCCGAGGCCAAGCATGGTTTATAACACTCTGAACAGGGAGGGTTTGTCCACAAACCGGTGCAGTAGCTGGTAAATCCTGACATTGGTCTCCCAGTCTTTGCTACCAGCTGGCTCACCAAATGCATTTACTGTGTTGGTTATCTGCCAAAGAGACGTGTGGGTGAGGCAAACCTGCCAGCACCTGCCTAAACTCACTACATATTGTCTGGTGTTGATTTACCACCCTGCCCTTCATCCTCTTTGTGAGGAAACAGCTGGGTGTCACCCTGAATACACTCTTTGCTTTGACGCATTACCAGCTTAGACGTCCTGAAATCGAATCAGCGGCTTCCTCTGTTCCCTGCATGTTTACGTTCACGGTTTCAATTTTCGTCTTTCTCTGTTCCTCTGCTGCATCGCCTGAATAATTAATTGCTTATCATAAATCATTGAGAGGGATACAGTCACATGGCAGAAGTTTGTTCCCAAATATGATGCAAATATTGCTGTTGACGAACCAGAAACATGCATCTGCAAAAAAGTTCTTTCGGGTAGAAGATTTTTGAAATTGCATCATGGATTACTTTCAATGAGTTAAAGACAAAGTTAACTCTGCATTTAGCAACTTTGAAGTCATGTGGTTCCAAGGTAACAGCAGTAAAATGTTTGAGAGAGTCTTCAGCGCAGCTAAAAGCCACCACTTCAGTCCTAAAGGCTGTTAGAAGTGTGCATGTAGAAGTAGAAGCATCTATCTTTTAACAGGCTCTTGAGTGAGGCAACTCTAATGACGGTTATATAACTGTTCCCCTTCAAGGCTCGCGCTGCAACTCATTGCATAATATTAGTGCTGTTGTTACTCCTCTTTAAAACTGTGTTTGTGCGTGTGGGCGGACTGTTGGCTCCGCCAGCCGAGGTGCTCCCGTCCTGCCGCCTCTGTCCTCTCCGGTCTTCAAGGTGCACACGCAGAGAAAGCGGCTAAAAGCAAACTTCCTATTTGTGTGTTCAGTCACCTCAACATTGCCCACGTTTGAGCCTTGAGTTTGATATGTGTGTACATTACTGTGTGTGTATCAATATACAGGGTTCGTACAAAGTCATGAAAGTTTGGAAAAAGCTTCATTTTAACTTTTCAAAGTTAGGAACATGCATGAATTAAAATATCCTACTCATTGAAAAGACACAGTCACTCATGTAAACCAGACATCTCTTCCCGTCAACGTATTTGGTTGTTGTCTTCTGCCGTGTTTGATCGTCATTCAGGGCTAGATAACTTCTGACGTGAAGTAGGTCTTAAATTGCATTAATAATGTTCATAAAAAGTTAAATGTTACTTACTGAAACCTGTATAAACCTGTTTATAGTAAATGCAATTAAGTTACTGGGTTTCCTGCCATTTAACATTTTTTAACTTTGTTTTATCGCTAGATGTTTTATGATCCCTGTGTTTGCTCTGTTTGGCTCTTCTTCATCTATGTTTTTATCTGCTGAAGCAGGCCATGTTCACACTGCAAGCCTTGGAGCTCAATTCTGATTTACTGCTCAGACCTGATTGTCTTTGTTTGGCTGTTCACATAATTAAAAAAAAAAACGTGGTCTATATTAGATTCCAGTGTGTGCAGTTGGCGGTTTTGACGTAACCTGCTTGATGAATGTTGGCCTAGAGTGATGTAAAAGTGTTCACACTGAGGTCACATTGCAAAAAATACCAGACCTGAATCTGATTTGAACACCAAATCAGAATTAAAAAGATCAGATTCAATGTGATTTGTGCTGTCAGTTGAGTAAAAAAGCAAAAAACATTTAGGTGACTTTGGCCGGCAGTCTGAATGCAGTTTTTATAACGTTAAGAAAAGTGTCGTGTACATAAAGTTTATTATCATTATTATCACATTGTGTTTTCTCTGTTTTCAGCTCTTCTTGTTGCCGCTCATATGTACGACTTTCGCCGCACCATCAAAGAAATCGTCAGCGTTGTGAAAGTGTGTGAAACCACACTAAGAAAAAGGTGGGCGGTTAAAGGTTTTAATGTTTTTAACGTGTTCAACAGTAAAAGTACTGAAGATGGAGGATTTTCTACACACAAAGTCAAAAAGTTAATGGTTCATAAGTGAGCAGCAGATTCATTAATAATGTGTTAAACGTCTGGTGTTAATTAGTTTGTGCTCTTTGTTGTCGCCCTGCTGTTAGACTGGTAGAGTTTGAGGACACGCCCACCAGTCAGCTGACCATCGAAGAGTTCATGAAGGTGGACCTGGACCAAGAGTGTGACCCGCCCTGCTATACAGAGGGACTGAGGAGGAACAAAGCCCACCAGGTGTGGATTTTACCTCACATACTCTCAGGAACAACGAGCTCATTTAAAATACACCTTCAGTTTTTTTTTATCGATTTTGATAAATTCCACTGCTTCTGAAATTACCCATTTGCCCCTCCAGGAATATTAAAATTTCATGTTATATTTTCTTGATGATTACATGCAACCCCCAGGCTTTCTCCAGTAATTAATGAAGGGTATTAACCTCTAAAGTAAAACTGTCATGGATCACTGTTCTCTGCGTCCACATACTTAACACAGGTAGCAGAGTGGGCGCTCTATCGACCACTGCTAATGTAGATGTTGGTCAGAAATAGTCAGACACTTATATTTCAGATTAAATGTGATACAACGTGTAGTGCCGCACCGGAACGACCTATGTTGGCTTGAAGTTTACGTCCAGTTTTAAGTGTTTTAATCATCACTAAAGTGTGTGTCACGTAAGAGAGCCAATAGAAACTAAAAGAATGGTCAAAGTTGTCATAAAGACAGTTAACGTAAACTCATCCACTGAGTAACATTCAAGAAAACATTCCACCTTAAAAGCTGTAGCTGTTGGTATCTTTTGAGCGGCACAGTGAATTAAATGTTCAAACGTGCAGGCAGGGAAAGCTAGCCTAGCTCCGGTTTCATAGCCTACCCTATTAGGTTATACAATGTATTAATGGACCTTTTTCACAGCAGCCATTTTGACATGAAATCGTAGGGTAAACACTAGGGCTTCCAGGGAATACCCATCTGAACCATTTCCCTTTTTTGATAATTCAAGACATTGAACAATGAACACTAAAGTGTAAACACGTGATCAGATGGTTCAACAATAGGTTTGCTGCAACGTTTTGGATCTCTGCTACAAAAACCCAGATGATGGATTCAGACAGTCGCCGATCGCCGATATATCCGTCCAATCGTCCAACCTTAGTTTCCAGAAGACACAACAGCAGAAGAGTGATGTTTTTTTGCTTTTACAGTCCAGAAACAAAGAGCTGACTGTGGATCGTTTGTCTCTTAGTGTGTTCTGTACTTCAGCTGCGTCTCACAGAACAAAATCAAACTCGTGCTTTACTTCCACGAAGAAAATGTACAACTGTAAGAAAAGGCCGCCGCTGTCAGCCACCCACAGCCCTTCTGTGTTCTGATGTTCTTTTTATTCTGAGATGTTTTAACCCCCGGACTCACTGTTGCATTTGGGGAAAAAAGGCTTTCATTCAATTTCTCTCCTTTTGTCTTCCTCCCCTCTAGCTTGAGGTCGAGCTGAAGAAAAAGATGGATGACGTTGAAGGTATGAGCGCGATCTCCTCGTCATCAAAGGCACATCTCGACTCTCAGGCTAAATGAATTCACAGCGCTGAGAAAGACAAAGTTCTGTAACTCTGTCTTGTTTTCTTGCTCCTTGACTAAATGCAGATCAGTGTTGGATGTGGTTGAAGGAGGGAAATAACTCCAACGCTGCAGAACGCAGAGGGGAAACTGCTCCCAGTGTTTTTACACGATTTAGTTTCAGCACGACATGTAATTAGTCGTACATTATGTTACAGTAGAAACATATTATATTGTAATTATGGCAGACGTGATTTAAAGCAAAGCTTCAGAAGAACAGGCTCACTAAGGACACAAAAGAAGGATCATTTCTCTTCCCTGCATGTGTCACACAATCTTTTTAGGGACATGGGAAAAGTCTCACTCTGTACCTTTCACTGCTTTATGTCAGACAATTGATCCTGGAATGGTTATAGATTGTTTTTATCTTCAACAGATGAGATCCAGAGCTACCAGGATGAGATAGACGCAGAGCTTCAGACCTGTAGACCCAAACTGAGAGGAGTTTACGCCGCCTACACCAAGGAAGGTACGGAGCAGGAAGGAGTGTTGGTAAAAAGGCTAAAGGGATCATCCAGAGCTTGGCTCAACGCTTTATATCACATATTATATTCCAGATTTAGCTAACCTAAAACCTAGCAAATGGTGGCTGGTTACTTGCTGTGTGTCCATACAGCGTTTGTGAAGGGTTTCATAGCCTCCTTGTTAGCTTAGCTACAAACCTGCAGCACTCTCTCCATTCACTGCAGTTGAGTAAAAAAACATACTAACTCTCTGATTTTAGGATGTAATGTCAGTCTTTGCATACCTTACCTTTAACAGTATGGACTTTATACTCAAGAATGCACATTTAACAATAAAAGGTATATACATCAATACGACAGGGATAGAAATCTTAGGCCCTGGTAGCTCATGAGTCCTTTTACACAGCTTCTGTTCGATTCCAATCTGCAGCCCTCTGCTGAATGTCATCTTCTCTTTCTCTCCCCACTTTCAGTCTCTTCTCAGCTGCTTCTGTCTGATGAGGGCAATAAAAGTCCCCTAAAGATCTAGAAACAACCTGTTCAGGGATCTTCTGTCTGAAATCACTGCCACTTTACTCCTCAGCTTTTTATTTCAGTGTTAAAATACAGTATATGTCCGGAAAAATACCCACAATGCAACACAAAAATAGTATCCCTTGTCTGTACACTGTGCTTTGCCAACAAACAACAATATAATGCTGCAGAAATTCATAGATATTCGATGTTCCCTGAAAAATAAATCAGTCAGTAGTTGAGACAGTGACACTTGGATGACGATGATATACTGACATGAGTGTTATTACATTAATAAGAACAGAAAACAACTGCGCCAATAATGAAGTTTGTTAACGATGGCATAATGTTGGGATGTCACACAAACATGCTCAGTGTTATGAAATACGTGAGCTAACTGAACCATACGCTATCATGCAGTTAAAATGCGAACTGTAGCAAACCTGCTGAAAAAACTTTTAAAGGTATTTTATGGGCGAAATAAACACATTTTACATTACATCCTTTCCTATAGATTATATCTCATAGTATATTGTTATATTATCTTAATGTTATACCATTTTAGTACATAATATACTTTATTAATACAAACTGAGTATGATTGTTTAATCAGTTTATATTTACTTGCTGTATGTGTTTACATACACTACACTCTACTTCTATTAATCACACTATATACAATTTAGTCTATAATTGCTCTTCTATAGTTTCTATCTTAGTTTCAGTTTTATATACCTCTTATTATTCATTTTTTACTTTCTCTGTTGATCTTTGTTTTTTTCTGTCTTTCTGCTGCTGCAATAACTGAGCTTCCCGTCCTGGGATCAATAAGTGTTTTATCTTATCTTCCTTTTGACCCCACTACTGGTTAGGATCTAAGAATAGCTTATTATCTATCAAACTAATTTGGTTTTCTGGTGAGTAATAAGCATTAAAGCCTCGTCTGGCTGCCAGTGTCGCTGCAGACTTCTATTTGAATATAACTTTGTAACTTGATATTAGAACAGCAGCATTAAAGTGAATATCGCAGCAATAACACGGGCAGCTGTGGGACACCCAAATACTAACAGCTACAGGGGGGAAACACTGCGACAGTAATGTGTGATGATGTTTTTATTTATCACTGTGCCAGTCAATCAGGCACACACAGACACACACAGGCACACACACACACACACAGGCCCACCCACGAGACGCAGCACACATCAGAGTGCACTCCCTGTCACTGCTCCTCTTTATCTGTTTCTACCTTTGGCTCTTTATCTCTGGCCCTCTGTCTTTGTCTGTCTCTCTCTCTCTCTCACTCTCACACACACACACACACACACACACACTCCTCGTATCCCCCTG